AAACAAAAAAAAAAATCTAGATAAATAGAAAGAAGTTGTGCGTGAATTTTCTTTAAAAAAATATTCGTTAAATACTTGCGCTAGATAGTGAGACAGCCCCCCCCCCCCCTCCAAGGGCCGGGCTGTGTCGCGCCGCGCTCCACATTGAGTATCGTCGGCCTGGCACCTGGCCTTCCCTGCGGCGGCGGCGGCGGCGGCGGCGGACCACATACAGAGTATTGAGGCGGTACGGCGCGCTGTGACCCGGCGGCGGCAGCTGCGCGGAGGGGGTGGGTGGGGACGAGGAGGAGGACTATAGGAGGGGGAGGAGGAGCTACAGCCGAGGGGAATGCCGCTCATCTCCAGGGCAGTACGGAGCTTCTCCCTCGCGCACTGCTTCCCTCGCCGGAGAATCCTCCTCCTCCTCCTCCTCCACCGCCGCCGCCCTCCCCCCACTCGCCGTCAGTCACTGCCGTTGGCGCGTGTCTGTACGGCTCCACCCACGAGAGCAAGACAAAAGTATCGGTTGCAACGATGACAACGGCGAGACGCCCGGTCTGAAGGACTACGGCGACCCGGTCTCGTGACCCGCCGCACGCCGGCCGGCGACCCGGAGGTGGCAGCAGAGCAGGGTCGTCGGCCGTCACCATGGTCTTCCCCCTGGGTGTTTCTGGGCAGCTAAGACACTACAGTGCTATATTACTATATGCAATAGCTCGACACTGTAGTGTGTGCGTTGCGGAACGACCCGGTAAATGCGAATCACACGTTCCTCCCGATGCAAACGCCAGCGACACGGCGCCTGCGAAGCGCTGGTTAGGCCAACCCGCCACGCAGATGTGTGCAGACGGTGGCCCGCCCTGGGGTACCGGCGAGCAAGTGCAGGGTGCAGGAGCCGTGCCGCGCGGATCAAGCGAGGGTTCATGACACTCTCGGTTCGAATAATACAAACACCATAAAATCTTTTTCCAGAATCTCAAATACATCTGCACTCTTGAACGGTCTCCTCACACGCCTCTTTCTTTAGTGACCTGCGAGACACTGCTACCGTGCATGCTTTGCACTGCACTTTGTCTCCGACATCAAGTGAACATCGACCTGGTGGACTCCACGCGACTCCACTGGTGACAAGAATCGCGTGTGAACTTCCCTGAACGAACCCTGCGCGGTGGTGCAGTGCGGATGGGGTTGAAAGTTGCAAGCCTTGGAAAGTTTCCGGAAATTTTCAGGGAAAACGGGAAATTTCCCAGACTTTGGAAGTTTTACGTTATTTTCCCGAAATTTTCGGGAATTTTCCGGAAATTTTCAACTCTACGGGCGGACTTGCTTACCTTGGTGCCCGCGGGGTCAGGTAGGTCCTCTGCTCGGCTCGTCTCTGCTGCACGGTGCACTAAGGCGTGGCCCGGTTCGACTAGGCCCGTTTGGCTCGGCTCCGTTCGGCGGCACGCCCCGGAGCACGCGTATGTGTCCTGGGGCTCACGAGGAAGGACTGGCCTGGTCGCTCTGTTGGGCAGCGGGTCAGTAGCGTCCAGTCGGGGCCGGGGCTGGCGCGGCTGGCGTGGCTGCCGGGGCGGGCACGGCAGGGGGCTGTCCGACCCCCACCTGCTGTCGCACGCGGATCGCCACGCCCCGCCACGCCCCGCCACGCCCCGCCCCCTCCTTCCCGACGACGGTCCCCGTTACTGCCGGCTCCGCCACTTGCCGGTTCTGGGCGCTACCTGTTCTTCCTTTCCTTCCCTTTCAACCCCCCCCCCCTCCTTTTTTTTTTGTTTCTCCGACTCCCGCAATGAGAACTATAATTTATAAATTGCCGTTGTTTCCCAAAACTGATACTTTTTATTATTTTATCTGTTGATTTCTTCTTTTTTTGGCCATGATGATGCCTTCAGAGGATGCTGCTGCATTTCTTTCATTCTTGCTCACCTGGTTCCCGCGGCTGCCGACGGAACAGGTGCGAGGCAAAAGTTTGGAACAAAACTATGAGATGCCGAACGTTTATCACTTGGGGGTAAAAAGAATTACATTGGCCCCAACGAGCCACAGAGAAATTCAGATATGATGCAAACTAATCACTTTTTTTATATATATATTTTTTATTTTCAATAAAATAAAATTGGTCGACATCTTTACCGGCGTTCGTCGAAAGGTCTGTTTCTGGCAGTGTGTCGAGTACGGCCGCTGAAAACAAAGGTGAGGAATATTGACTTTCAAAACGGCCCGCGCCGCCGTCGCTCGAAGCCTTTTGCCATTGTCGCGCGCACCGGCATACGGCCGCGGCCGCGTGCAGCCGGGAGGCAGGCGCCACCGCGGCGGCCACCAGGCGGCCACCCTCCCCGCCATCACCACTGTCATGCAAATACCCGCCCGCACTCTTGCTCTCGTGCGGCCTCGTCATCGGCTTGATAGCCACCTCGTGCGGGGCGGGGAGAATGGATTTGCGCGCCTCGCGTCCGCGCGGGGGCGAGATCTACGGGGACCTTTAGGGGGACCTCCGGGGACCTTTATGGGGACCTCCGGGGACGTTCCGAGGACCTGTATGGGGACCTCTGCGGGGACCTTTATGGAGACCTCCGGGGCTCCGGGGACCTTCCGGGGTCCTCCGGGGTACTCCGGGGTCCTCCGGGGTTCTCCGGAGACCTTACGGGGCCCTCCGAGGCCCTCCGAGGCAATCCGGGGATCCTACTACGGTGACCCTACACGGGGACCTGAAGGGGCTGTCAAAATAAGATACGGTTTGGCCGACCGACCGACTGACCGTCAACCTCGGAACGACCAGGACGACTGAAATATCGTGTTTGTGGGTTTTCTCGCACGCTGAGTCCAAATCTGGTAGTGCCGATGTGGTCCTGGTCGGGCCCCCGGGGACGTCATTGGGGACCTCCCGAGCACGCCGATGACACACCCACGACAAATACGATTCGGCTCCAATCGTCGTGCACGCCGGCTGGTGCATATTTCTTAAAAGTCGCCAAATATAATTATTCGTAATTATTATTAATAGCAAATCGCCCATAATAGTATAATATCCT